TTAAAACCAAAGCATTCTTGAAACATTCCGTTTAACGACAGAAACCCTGGCGTGACTCGCTGCCGAACAGCGGCACGCCGGTCGCGTGGTAGGGCAGGCAAACGCACGGATAGCAGGGGCGACCGTGACATCCCCAAAACCGAGGGCGCGAGCGGCAAGGCTGAAGGAATGAAACGTCTCGCCCGTCGCTGGGCCAAGCCGCGCGGGCGATCGAATCGCTCTGCGTCTGTTCGCTGCGCCAGTGTTCGCTTCAGCGGAGCGGCTTCTAGGAGGCACTGCGGAGCTTTACAACTAGCGGGCTCTTCGCTAATGAAACCACCGGTGGGGAAGGGTCTGAAGCGCCGGCCCAGCGATGGCTGACGCTGCCCCCCCCCAGCTCGTCAGCGCCCGAGAGACGCGTGCTTTTGCTTTAATCGTGTTTGTTTAAATCATGCTGCCTCTTGCTACGCTCTTTGCTGCAGGCGTGCCTGCATACGTGCCGCCGGGCTCCGGAGGTGCTGCGCGGCTTGTGCCCATCCCCCGTGGGACCCAACCAGGTTTTTGGTCCCGTTACCGGTGTCAGTGCAGCTTTTCACCTCCCCAAAGCGGCCAGCTAAATTCTAAGGGAAGAATCAGCAGCCCCAGCAATATCCGAGCGAGCCCTGTAAATCCCAGAGTCAGCTCGAGGGTCCAGCTGTGAAAAAACACCCTGCGCCTCGTGAACAGGGTAAGCTTTAGCCAAAGGCACGGTGGAGGGCGAGAAGCTCGTAGCCCCGTGCTGCTTTTCGGGAGCCATTTTTCAGTGGCGGCCTCTGTTGCCCTCCTGCAGCAAGCCCGTGTGCGACAGCAGGCACCGATACGCTGCCACCGATCCGGCACGAGGGGGAGAGATTGTCCCATTTACCTTCCCGCACAGGAGGAACACCGGGCGCTTTCCTGCTCGGGCCGTGCAAGCGGCGTCTCTTTTACATCCTGGCCTCTCACACGATCGCGCCCGGAGCCGTCTGAACGGAGAAGCGCCCTTTCACGCGCTGCAGGCCTGCTCCTAACGCCACCGACCCCCGTGCACGTGGCAAAGCCCCCACATTGCCTCAAATTCCCGAGAGAGCAGAGGACTAAAAGCAGCCACGGGCACAGTTCTCAACGCTGGGCATCCGACGATTTGCCCTTTCTCCACTCTTTTCTCCACCAGCGTATTTGCTCAAAAAAACCCCCCCAACTCAAACCAACAAAACCCCCACCAAACCTGACTATTTCCGTGGGTTTTCCTGCCAGGGCTCCAGTCCGGCTCCTGGAGCCGACAGCCACGGCAAAGGCTGATGCAAAGGGAACGGTCTCTCCTGACCGAGAGCAGCTCCAAGGGGCGGCTGCGCCCCCTGCTTCGCCCTCGCAGCCGGGCGGCCCCTGCCCTTCCTCGCCCCGGGACGCCGGATGGGGATCTTCGCCGTAGCCGGCGCCCGCAGAGACGCCCACGGTGCATCGCCCACGGCACTGCCAGCTCCCCCCACACCGGGACAGCGCTGGGTCAGACCCGAGGACGCGCGGTTCCGCGTCGCCCCGGCAGATGTTTGCAGAAAGCTGCCTGGATCCGTGCCGGCAGAATCCGCTTTGATTCCCGTTCTGTTAGTTTTCCCCCCTTCCTCTAACGACTTCGTTCTGACCTACTTCTCCTCCTTTTCATATTTTATTCCTTTTTAAGAGGCTTTTATTTTTCGAGAACCGTTTTTTTTTAAGGAAAATATGCCATCTGTGTTTATACATTTTTAAATATTGTTTGTTCTTGCTTCTGAAGTAACCGTGCCGTACGAAGGATTTCCATCTCCTTTTCCTCCATTACGCGATGGCTTTCCTGGTTTTATGCGCTGGCGTCGTCTGAGGGTCCGATTTAGTACGGATTGGTCACGCGCCTCGGCAAAGCGCAGATGAAACCCACCCACGCGGGCGTTCCTTCGGCGTGGGCCGTGCAGGGGCTGGGGAGGGGGAAACCTTGTACCCGCTGCCGCTGGGAGGCCTCCGCCGGAGGAAGGGTTCCGAGCTGTCCCCCATTAGCGCTAAATTATTCTGGCGTAAGCGAAGGCGTGAGGTGCGCGGGGATGGGAACGCGCGCGGGGATGGGAACGCACGCCGCCCCGCCCTTCCCTACTACTCTGCCCTGGTGAGACCCCACCTGGAGCACTGTGTCCAGTTCTGGGCTCCCCAGTTCAAGAAAGACGAGGAACTCCTAGAGAGAGTCCAGAGGAGAGCTACTAGAATGATAAAGGGACCGGAGCATCTCCCCTACGAGGAAAGGCTGAGAGAGTTGGGCTTGTTCAGCCTGAAGAAGAGAAGACTGAGAGGGGATCTCATCAACGCATACAAATATCTTAAGGGCGGAAGTCAAGAGGACGGAAGCAGTCTGTTTGCAGTGGTGTCCAGCGACAGGACTAGGGGCAATGGATGCAAACTGAAACACGAGAGGTTTCAGTTGAATATGAGGAAGAACTTCTTCACTCTGAGGGTGGCAGAGCACTGGAACAGGCTGCCCAGGGAGGTTGTGGAGTCTCCTTCTCTGGAGATATTCAAAGCCCGCCTGGATGAAGTCCTGTGTAGCATGCTCTAGGTGAGCCTGCTTTAGCAGGGGGGTTGGACTAGATGATCTCCTGAGGTCCCTTCCAACCCTTACGATTCTGTGATTCTGTGATTCTGTGATTCTAATTTTATAGTTTGAGTCATTTCAGAGTTATTAAACCCAGAGTAGTGCATTCATGCTGGAAGTGGAATTTTAGAAGGCAATAACCTTTAATTGGTTTTAAGATGAATAATTATATTTGCAGAAATCAATAATTATGTGAGATAGGAAAAAGTATATAAAATTTTAAGGGACTTGCTCTTTTTTTTGCTGTGGAATTGTCAGCTGTTCACAATAGTTTTGAAATACAGCCTAAGCATTGACAATGTCACTGTAACTACTGATTCTTCGCATCAGCATTCCAGCCCTTCCGCTGCCGCTGGATACGGCGATGCGAATAATAGTGTAGTTTTGGACGTGGTAGTTTAAAAAAATTACTCGAAGGCAAATATAGAGTGTGCCTGCGTTTTTCAATTTAATTTAATAAATTATCTGGGCTCCAGTAATTATTTGTTTGAAATAGGGATGTGCTGAGAGGCCCCAAGTCCTTTTAATACTACGTTAATAATGTAAGCGCAGATTACCGGTACAATTCTAAAGCAAGCGAAAAACCACATTGCGTATTCCGTCGGGGTCTGGAGGCATCCTTGCCCCCAACGAGCGATGGCCCCGGCTGGAAACCCCCGCCCTGGGCAGCACCCAAAGGTGCAGCAGAAGCATTGACATTGTCATGACCATTGCCATTGTCGTTAAAACAACCGGAACGACCCCGGTGCCCCCCAAACGAGCCGCGAGACCCTTTCCACGAAGGGCGAGGTGCGGGCACAGCCCCTCACGCCGCGCCATTCCCAGCGCCGCAGCCTGCCCCGGCGGAGGAGGTTTACCGACAAACAGCCCGCTTTGTTTGGAAATATTCTGCGCTTCCCTTTTCCAGCGATACGTCAACATTCTTCCCCACGCGCTATCAAGCTGTAATTATTTATATCTGGCAGAAAAAAAAAAAAAAAAAAGACAAACCACCCGGAAAAGCAGAGCGGTTGTCGACTCGCTCCAGATCCCGCAGGAGGTTTTCAGCGCAGCTCGGAGCCGAAGCCCTCTCCCTCGGAAATCCCACACCAGCTTCTCCGTCCACATCAGCCCCGGCGGCCCCAGCCGCTCCTGGGGCAAAGCGCGCACAAAGGGAAGAGCCCCGCGTTGCCCTCGGGGCTATTCCGGCAGCGGGAGGGATGGGGATTGATACGCGCTGGGTGCCCAAAGCCCTTGGACCACGGGGGAGCTGCAGGAGCCCCCATCGGGTGGAACGGGGCAATATTTTCACTATGGCTACAAGTCGCAAACAGCACTGGTGCCATTTCCCACCCATTCCCCCCTGCTCGACGTGCCCCTGGGCTCCCAGTCCACCACATCAACTCCTTCATATGCTTCTGCACTCAGAAGAAAAATTTTACACGTGTTTATCCAACGTTTTTTTACGATC